AATAAGTGAGGGGGTCAAAGTCCTGGATTAGAAAAAAGGTGGAAAGAGTGAAGATGGTGAGGCCCCCTTCTAGGAACAATGAGTAGATCAGCTTGTCATTGGTGATAAGGATGGAAAGACTGAGACCTTAAAAAAGAGGCTAAAGACTCTGGCTCATCCCAGAAACAGTGGAAGCTGGCAAAACTTTTGAGTAAGGCAGTGATGTGAAGAAAGCAGGGTTTTAAATAGATTAGTGATAGTAGGTAGAGTGGGAGAGTGTATACCTACAATGGCCAAGGGGCACCTACTGCAATGATTCAAGCTTTTATAGTGATAACCTCTTCTATGCATTAATTATAAATGTTTTTCAGTTTTCTTATGTATCCTTCGTACCTAAGCAGTAATAATATTAATAACATGTCACATGTTGTTATCGTAGCATTTACTGTCTTTGTGGCACAGAGAGGTTAAGTGGCTTGTCTAAGGTTATAGCTATTAATCCAGACCCGGCCATCCTCGCTCCCCAGCCCAGGCTGTGACCACTACACTGAATGGCTTATTCTCTAATCTTTTCAAAAGTGCACCATGAGTCTTTGATGCATTTATTGGGAAGCCTCAGTATACCTAGCCACAGATGACGTACACACAAAAATAGATGGGCAAGAGGTCAAGGAATACTTTTAAAAAATTAATGCAGGGCCAAAATACTTTTTGAAATGGTTATGTCTGTCTTAAAAACATGGTGTTTGTTTCTGGTTCCATGTTTTTGACTCACCGCTAGAGAATCTTTCTGATGCGCTGGCACGTGGAATGTTATTGCTGGGTGATAAAATAACCAGGTTGTTAGTATAACTATCAAATATCCTGGTTGCCTGGATAAAGACCCCCTGCTGTCTTCTACCAGGGAGTATTGACAAGAGGTTAAGAATAAGGTTCAACCTGGGGAGTTATGTTTAAGCTCCCCCTAGTTGTCATCTTCTGTGTGGTTTTTTTATTTCCCTTCTTGTGCCATGGTCTGTTGGCTAGCTTTCTCCTCAGTTCTCAGGTTTTATAGGGTTGAGACCTAGTTTTTCAAATATATATTAATTCCATCAAGATGCTTATTATTAATTAAAAACCAACATTAATCCAACAGATGGGCCTGTGTCACCAGAGGTAGTTTCATCCAGTGAGAAGAGTGGAGATTTTCATCCAGAATGCACAGGGTGGTCTAGATTAAAGACTTGAGATTTGGGGAGTGGAGCTGTGACAGGATGGGGGGATCTTTTTTAGCAAGGATTGGAGGAGTCATGGCAGGGCTGGTTGGATGATCCACAGTGTTGATCTCTTGCCCTTGAGCCAAAGTCTCTCTTCTCAGCTGTTTTGCTTGTGCTTGTGCTTCCTGCTACCACTGTTCAAAAGGAATGCTAATTTAAATGAAGATTTTTGAAGTGCATTGTTGACTTAGTGGAGCATGAGATGGTTGGGTCTAGGTCACTTACTGAGTTCTTAGCATAGCTCTGCTGCCAACTCTTTCTGTCATCTCAAGTAAAGTATTCTATCATCCCCATGAGTCTTGCTCCCCTCCATTTGCAGAGTGGATATGGTGCGTGTCTTCTGGGGTTGCTTTGATAATCTGGACAAACCCCTGAGTTTTATATATATAGTAATCACTCAATAGATGGAGCTACTATTGATATCAAAGGAACATAATAGAAGATAATGTGGGATAATGAAGATGACATAGTAATGAAATAAGGGGCAGGGGAGAGGTGAGTAGCCAAAAGAGATATAATACAAAGCAATAATACAATGTGTGTGTGTGTGTGTGTGCGCGCGCGCGCGTTTGTATTTTTTTTAAATTAACTTTATGTTTTTAATCTTTATCTGAGGATATGTTTTCATTGATTTTAGAGAGACTGGAGGCGGGGGGAGAAAGAGAGAGAAACATTTATGTGAGAGAGAAAAATTTATCAGTTTCCTCTTATACATGCCCTAACCAGGAATTGAACCTGCAGCATAGGTATGTGCCCTAACCAGGGATTGAATCTACATCTTTTTGGTCTATGGGATGATGCTCCAACCAACCTATCCACCTAGCCAAGGCCAAATGTGTGTATTTTTTTCATTTTTAAGTATATTTTATTGATTATGCTAATATAGTTGTCCCATTTCCCCCCCACTTTATCTGCCTCTGCCTGGTACCCCCGTTACCTCCAGCATACCGTGCCTTCCCCCACCCCCCCTTCCCCCCCCGCCCCGGCTTTGTAGCTCATGTCCATGAGTCAGATATATAAGTTCTTTGGCTTCTCCATTTCCTATACAATTCTTAACCTTCCCTTGTCTGTTTTGTACCTGCCAATTATGTGTCTATTCCCTGTACATTTCCCCCATCCTCCCTCCACCCCCTCCACACTGATGACTCTCCATGTGATCTCCATTTCTGTGATTCTGTTCCTGTTCTAGGTGTTTGCTTAGTTTGCATTTGTTTTTTTAGGTTCAGTTGTTGATATTGTGACTTTGTTGTCATTTTATTGTTCATAGTTTTGATCTTTTTCTTAGATAAGTACCTTTAACATTTCATATAATAAGGGCTTGGTGATGATGAACTCCTTTAACTTGATCTTATCTGGGAAGCACTTTATCTGCCCTTCCATTCTAAGTGATATCTTTGCTGGCTGGAGTAATCTTGGTTTTAGGTCCTTGCTTTTCATGACTCTGAATATTTCTTTCTGGCCCCTTCTTGCCTGCAGGTTTTCTTTTGAGAAATCAGCTGATAGTCTTAGGGGAACTCCTTTGTATGTAACTCTATTCTTTTCTCTTGCTGTTTTTAAGATTCTCTCCTTATCTTTAATCTTTGGCAGTTTGATTATGGTGTGTCTTAGTGTGGTCCTCCTTGGGTCCCACTTCTTTGGGACTCTCTGAGCTTCCCTGACTTGCTTGTCTATTTCCTTCACCAGATTGGGGAAGTTTACTTTCATTACTTTTTCAAGTACATTTTCAATTTCTTGCTCTTTCTCTTCTTCTTCTGGCACTTCTGTGATTCAGATGTTGGAATATTTAAAGTTGTCCCAGAGGTTCCTAAGGGACTCCTCATTTTTTTTGAATTCTTGTTTCTTCCTTCTGTTCTGATTTACTGTTTATTTCTTCCTTCTGTTCCAAATCATTGATTTGAGTCCCAGTTTCTTTCCCTTCACTGTTGGTTCCCTTTATATCTTTCTTCATTTCACTTTTTATAGCCTTCACTTCTTCCTTTATTTTGCGGTCATACATAGTAATTTCTGTGAGCACCCTGATTACCAGTGTTTTGAACTCTGTGTCTGATAGGTTGGCTATCTCCTTGTTGCTTAGTTCTTTTTCTGGAGTATTTATTTGTTCTTTCATTCAGCCCATATTTCTTTGTCTTGGCAAACCTGTTACGTTGTAAGGGATGGAGACTTAGGTATTAACCAGAGCGGAACAACCTGCTTCACCTTGTTGTGATGTTGTATGTATGGGAGGGGTCAGAGAGGGAACAGTCCCATTTGCTCAGCTCTTGCCCTGCTTTCAGTCACTTCCCCCTGCTTCTCACAAGCAAATTGTGTCCTTTCATGTGCTGTCTTGGTGCTGATTCCTGGGTGGGTGAGCTTGTGTACATTCTAGGACCCTGTGAATCTCTCTAACAGACTCTCCTGTGAGACTGGCAGTTTCTCCCACTGCTGCAACCCCTACAGGTTTTTACAGCCAGAGGTTTTGAGTCTTCCATTTTCCTACGCTGGAACTCTGGGTTGTGCGTTTTTGTCTCACTCCCCCATTGTTACTCTCGGGTTATCTGCACCAAATGTGGGACTGCCCAGTCTGCCAGCCGCCGCCTTGCCCAGCCAGTCTGCCAGCCACAGCTTTGCTGTGCATATTCTCCACCCTGGCTGCCCATCTCTACCCCTCCTATCAGTCTGGATGAATGTTTCTTCTTTAACTCTTTGGTTGTCACACTTCCATACAGTTCAGTTTTCTGACAGTTTTAGTGGTTTTTTATTTTTAAATTGATTGCTATCCTTTTTTTGATTGTGCAGGGAAACCGCATGCCTACCTATAGCTCCATCTTGGTTGAAAACCCTATTATCCCCAAGTGTGTGTATTTTTAATAAGAAAAGTATTAGGATAAATGTATAAGAACATCCTTATTGGGTAAAACAGAACACTAAATATAAGTAAGAATGTACTAAAAAGAAAAAAAATGTTAAATATGGCAGTAAAATGTGTCTAAGGGCCAACATCACCATGCTGCCCTAAATCTGGTTCTTGGGTCCTTCCTCTGCCACACACATGTGCTGGTTGTCAAGGTCACTGAGAGGGTCTTGGAAATGAAACAATTGATGTGGATATCCCCTGGGCAGTGAGCAGAGTTTTGTTACCTTTAAACTAGCATTTTTCCCCTCCATGGTAAGTGTTCAATATCTCAGGAATATAGTATACCATGGGCCAGTGTTGAAGAAATGCATAAACAAAGTTAGTTCTTACTATAGTACTTTTCAGAACCTTTGATCCATAACTGTGACACTCCAGGAGGAGACCTGTAGTAGGAAATTGTTTTTAGACAGTGGAACTCTTTTGGAAAAACGAAGAAGATTCTGGGAACTATGTCATAGAAGTAGTGCTCTTTGGAACACATTTGGGCCATGCTGTCCCCAGCATCTTGTCCTTTGGCTCATGACAAATGCTGTTCTGCATTTCACATCCAAAAATGCTGAGTGTGTTCCCTCCATCTGGCATTTTCCACACCTAGGTCTAGACTTAGCTTCCTCCCCTTCTCCTCATTGATGTCCTCAGAGAGGTCTTCCCTGACCCCTTGACCGCATCACTCCATCCTAAAGCACTTTTCACTATTTGAAATGTGTGAAGTGATGTATTTGTTATACTTTTATCATCTGTTTCTCCTGTTAGAGTGTTAGTTCATTTCATGCACATGTTGTATTCCTGGCATTTAGAACAGGGTCTGGCACATAGTAGGTGTTCTTTGAAAGAAAAATCACTGAACTTAATTAAGCCTTTCTGTTAAGCAGGGTGGAAGATCATGATGATCTCATGCCAATATTTAGGCATCAGGACACAATTCTGAAAGCGACTTACGGAGAATACTTTCTGGCTGAACTAATAGAGGCCCAAGATGAAGAGAATCATGCTGTCGTATGTGAGGTTAGTGATTAATCCACCTAGGAATATGCTTAGTGAGAAATGGGAGAAATAAACCATGTTGCCCCTGGTTTCACACAGCACTCTTGGAGCTATCATCCCCTCCTCCTTCCTCATGCCCTTACAGGTGGCATGCCAAGCCACCTTCTGAGCTGTGCATCATACTCCTTCCTGGTGCTAACTTGCTTTAGGTTTTCAGATTTTTGTGAGGTCCTTCCACATGTCCTGGGTGCTATAGATTATTTGCTCTGTCTCTAGAGGTAAGGGTTAGAGTCCGGGTGAGGGGAAAAGGTCCTCCAAGGGTGTCTAGGGGGGATATCTGGGACCCCAAGATTCCAGAGACCAGAACTTAAAAATCAACATCCTGCTTATAGATGGATTTTGTTTGACTTGGAAAGTAATTTTTACCCTTTTGTTTTAACAAACTTTCACACTTAAAGAAAACTTATAAGCACTCTAATGCTCTAAATTTTCCCATATTTGCTTTATTACTGTCTTTGCTTTCTCTTTCTTTTCCTTTAATTGCTTTATTTATTTTTTCAAATACATTTGTCTCTGCCTGCCCCGCACCACTTTCCCTTGCTCCCTCCCCCGTCTGTCTCCCTCAATCCTTCCCCTTTGGCTTAGTCCATGATCCTTGCTCTATGTTCCTTGACTTGCCCTTCCCTTCCTTTTCCCCCGCCCACTCCTCCATCCTTCCCGCTTGTCTCTATTGGTTTCCTTTCCGTTCAGTGTTGCTGGTCTTATTTTCCTTACATCTTTGTATTGATGGTTGGGTTTCGCTTATAAGTGAGATCATATGGTATTTGTCTTTTGCACCCTGGCTTATCTCGCTTAGCATAATGCTCTTGAGTTCCATCCATGCTGTTGCAAAGTGTACTAGTTCTTTATTTCTTTCTGCTGCGTAGTATTCCATTGTGTATATGTACCATTATTTTTTTATCCAATCATCTACTGATGGGCATTTATGTTGCTTCCAACACTTGGCTATTGTAAATTGTGCTGCTATGAACATTGGGGTGCAGAGGTTCTTTTGAATTGGCGTTTTGGGATTCTTAGGGTATAGTCCCAGCAGGGGAATCACGGGATCAACGGACAGTTCCATTTTCAGCTTTTTGAGGAAAGTGCACACTGCTTTGCACAATGGCTGCACCAGTCTGCATTCCCACTAACAGTGTACTAGTGTTCCCTTTTCTCCACAGCCTCGCCAGCACCTGTTTGTTGATCTGTTTATATTGGCCATTCTGACTGGTGTGAGATGGAACCTCATTGTGGTTTTGATCTGGATTTCTCTGATGGCTAGTGATGCCGAGCATCCTTTGAAATGTCTCTGGGCCTTCTGTATCTCTTCTTTGGAAAAGCGTCTGCCCAGATCCTTTGCCCATTTTTTGATTGGATCATTTGTCTTCTTGGAGTGGAGTCGAGTGAGTTCTTTATATATTTTGGAGATCAAACCTCTATCTGATGTATCATTAGCAAATACATTTTCCCATACAGGTGGCTCCCTTTTCATTTTGCTGATGTTTTCTTTAGCTGTGCAGAAGCTTCTTATCATCATCTGACACCATACACAAAAATAAACTCAAGATGGATAAAAGACTTAAATATAAGTCGCAGCACCATAAAAGTCCTAAAGGACAACATTGGCAGGAAACTCTCAGATATCCCATGCAGCTATTTTTTCACTGATATGTCTCCTAAAGCAAGGAACATAAAGGAAAGAATAAATAAGTGGATAAAGTCTTGATGCTTTCTATTGCATTTTTTTTGTTTGTTTCATTCATTGCATTCTTAAACTTCAGAATTTGTTTATTTTTTATAATTTCTGTCTATTAAACTTCTCAGTTTGTGTGTTGTTTTCCTAATTTTCTTGAACTGTCTTTCTGTGTTTTCATGTAGATCATTGAGTTTCTTTAAAACAGCTCTTTTGAATTGTTTATCTGGTAAATCAGAGATCTTCATGTCTTTGAGTTTGTTTACTGTAAAATAATTATGATCTTTTGGTGGTGTCATATTTCCTTGATTTTTTTCATGTTTCTTGGAGTTTTGGGTTCTGACTTTACAATTTGAAGTATCAGTCACATCCTTCAATACTTACTATCTTCATAGATGAAATACCTCCAGTAGCTCTGGTAGGGATTCTGAATCTTTTTGGGATAACTTGTGGATACATCTCATCTATTCCTTGCTTCTTTCTCTTGTGGCAGAATTTTTAAGCTTGTATGCATTCTCCGGATCTTGCAAAGCAGCAGGCTGAGTGTTGACAACCTCTCTCTTTCTAAAGGTGGCACTAGAAATTGGTGGTAAACCAATTAGACATTTACTGGTTTATCATGCTTTTAGATTATTCCAGTTGACCAGAGATAGCAGAACAAAGTACATCAAGACTGTCTCTTACCAGACCAGCCTGCAGTAGTTACACAGCATGCATGTAGAATGTTTATGAGAGTTAGGCCTATGCCATCTGAGAAGCTCTTAATGAAAGGTTTTTAACTGTGAGGACATTGTTTGGCTTGATAGCTTCTTTGGAGGAGTATTGAGTCATCACTTTGCTGCAAGTTGCTTTTCATAACTTCGTCCTGGCTTATCTTGACATCTGTTATTTATTCCAAACTGAGATTTCAGCAGGGGGAAATTAGAGGCCAAGGGTGGCTCCTAGAGACAGATGGGCAGAGTATGTTCTTTGGCATTATCTATGGCATGGGCAGCAGTAGTTGAGTAGACACCACTCACCTGTGTGTAGGCAGAGCCTGCTGGCTCAGCCATGTCCTTGGTATCAGGAAGAGGGGAATCAAAGCTGTGAGTGACCACAATGAGGGCAACCTCATCGCAGAGTATTGCCACCCAAAAGGGATGAGTGACTATAGGGCCTTTTAGATGGAAGCGTGAAAAATACAGTGTGCATGTGTCTATAAATGGACCTGTTTGTGAAGACAAAGACACTGCACATATGATTTTCTAGTAATTTTAGCCTCATGTACCATCATATAGATCATCACAGGAAAAACAACAGTAACAAAACTTATAGTTTTGTTCTTCAGTATACAATAATTGAAGACACCTTTGTCTTCACCTGTTACCTGGAGGATAGCTAGCAGCCAGTAACCAAAGCCTTTTCATTGTACAAGTTAAAAAAAAAAGTCCACTAAATCAATTTATTTTTCCAGAAAACATAAACACAAAAAGATGTATTTGAACACTTCCACAAATTCATAATTTAAAATAGTGTTCCTCAAATCAGAATAGTTATTTGAAAGGCCCAAAGGACAAAGCAGACACTTCCACAACATGCTCTTGCTCTGTAGTTGTCCATAATTGTGAACTTTTGTGAATTGTTGCAACCTGGGATGAATGATGGGAATATAACAGGTTGTAGAATTGGAGAATGTTAAATCTTTGTTCCTAATGGCAAAACATGTTTTTCTCATTTTCATCAGAATGTGTGATCCATGCCATTTGAAATCAAATTCCAAACACAATGAGCCATTAGTGTAATAGCTCATTACTAACAGCAGTCTTATAAATAATACATTCTTACCATGTGCATGCAGCTCACTGTGAAGCCAGCAAAAGGTATTTCAGGCCATCGAAGTTTCTTTGCACCAGTGCGGCTGTAGATTAGAAGGACATCGCCATGTGAACCAAGATGGGTGCCAATTTTCCCTGCCGAGATTGAAGCTGGCCATCTCTTCCTGCACATATGGTAGATGGATTGGTTAATCAGCATCTGCTGAGTTTTGAGCCTAAAATTATAGTGAAGCAAGACAACTGCAGCTACATAGCCTTTGTTCATGAGTGCAAACAAGAAAAACAATCACTTGTTATTTGGGAAAAAAATTAAAATGTTTATTTTGGACTTTTATTAAAGTGTCAATGACTTTATAAAACAGCTGTGTAAATTCAGGCTTTTACAGCTAACTAGTATCATTTGGGGGACACTGTAAAGAAAATAATATGTATGGAAATTCAATTTTTAAATATTCCTTTATATTTTAGCATTAAGGAGAAAATAAAGGGAGCCTCAAGTGCATTTTTCAAGCACATGTTTGAAAACAAATGGTTTTAAACTAGTAGACACACTTGAGAACAAATAGTTTAATACCTAATTTTCCTGTATCATTTAAAAGGCTCAGCATTATTATAGCTTAATTTTCTTCTTTAGTATCTTAAAGTAACAATTTTCAACCTTTTTCATCTCATAGCACACAAACTTACTACTGAAATTTTGTGGGACACCAAAAAATATATATTTTTTGCCAATATGACAAAAATAGGTGTAATTTTGATTGATTTACAAAAAAAGTAATAGTAAATAACCACTCTTTTTGCTCCAAAGTGACTTCTTAAAAAATCAGTTAAAAATACAAGTACATAAGGATTTCCAATACCAGGAATTAAGCAATCAGATGCAAACTTACGCAACATGACCAGTAAGATGAAGCTCTATTATATGACTTATATATTTATGGGTCGAGACAGGGCATTCACTTCAGACTGATACTGTTGTTGGCTCTTGGCATTTTTAAATTTGATATTCTAAGGGAAAAGAGATCAGTGCCCCTGACTAAATACAAGAGTTCAGGTATTGCATGTTTTAAAAATTCTTGCGGCACAATGGTTGAAAATTACTGGGTTAAAGTATTAACCATTTCCCCCAAATGGACATAAATGGGACTAGGGAATGCCTATGATTGTTGAGTTCTACTTTTTGAGTGGAATGGTTGTCTCAAAAAATAGTCTCAACACTTGAGGGAGAAATGCTGGTCTCTAATAAGAGCTGGCAGAGTCAAATCAATCAGAATTTTTTTAAATCCATGTAATAACAAATTATATATGTGATGCTTATTTATTTTTTCTAGTTTTACTGATATAATTTACATATAACATTGTATAAGTTTAAGTTGTTCAGCATAATGATTTAATATATGTATATATTGCAAAACAGTTACCTCAAAGATTAGTTAACTGAAGAACTATACATTTTCTCTCTCTTTTAAAATTTTACATGATTATCTTGCAGAGAAGAATGAAATGCAGAATTACTGAAGAGACATAATAAAGAATTTCAGTCATAGTCATCTCTTAATGTGGAATATGATAGAATTAAATTTTGTTAATTTGTATTTGAGTACTGATAATAGGTGCAGATTAGGTAGTTACTCATGAAACAATAACTTGTTTCTTCTAATCACAGCACTTTGACACCAAATATGTAGGAGATTTTCCCACACCAACCAGTTCTTCACCTCGAGAATGTCTTGCTGACACTACCTGGAATTTGCACAGACCCCACACATTTAGAGCTCATGCCCACAAGATTGCTCCCACTTCAGAAGTTAGTTGCAAGTCCCAGATTGTCACCTGTACTTCTCACTAACTGGCTGTAAATCAGACGTTCTCACAACGCCCTCCTTGGGTTTAATAATTTACTAGAACAGCTCACAGAACTCAGGGAAATACTTTACTTACTATTACTGGTTTATTATAAAAGATAAAACTCAGGAACAGTCAAATGGAAAAGATAGAGAGCAAGGTGTGGATGAGGAAGGGGTATGGAACTTTCATGACCATCTTGGGCACACCATCTCCCAGTACCTCAGTGTGTTCACCAAACCAAAAACTCCTTAATCCAGTTGTTTAGGGGGTTTTATGGCGATTCCATTAATGATTGGTTGTATTATTGGTGATTGTACTTGCTCTCTAGCCTCTCTCCCCTCCCTTGAGGTCAGGGGTGGGACTGAAAGTTCCAACCCTCAAATCACATGTTTGGTTCCTCTCATAACTAGCTCCCATTTTCAAAGTTACCTTATTATCATACACTCAGGTATCCTTGAAAGGTACTATTATGAAAACCAAAAGATGATCCTTTCAGGAAATTGCAAGTGTTTTTGGAGCTTGTGCTTGGACCAGAGATGAAAATCAAATATATACTTCTCATTTTATCCACTGTTACATTCATATTCTTATCTGTGTATTCCTCATCAAAGGCCAAAAATCACAGGGACCATTGCAAGAGGTATAAACCAGGTATCTGTTATGATGCTAGGAAGTGATGGATGCATTTGCAGATTAGGCCCATGACTTGAATTTACTCAAACATTTTCACCAAACCTCTTTCCTTATGTCTCCTCCCCATGAAACCATCTAATCAAATAAATGAATTCAAGATAACTGAAGAGTTTCTACCTGATAGAGAGTGAGTGACTTTGAACTTTCTCTGACAGGAGTGGGCAGGGGGGTCAGTCAGATGGACACTGGAACAATGGCTGGTCTTATTGAGAACTGTGCATGGTAGAGGGGAGAGTGGACAGAGGCTGGGCTTCCAGTGGGATAATAAAAAGGATATGGGGGGTAGGCAGGAGCATTGCCTGGGCAAAGAATGCACTTGTTACATTCCAAATAGTTTTCCCTCAAGGGCTCTTTGGCAACTTCCCTACATTACATATCCATTTCTAGGGCTGTATAGAGGTCTTTTATGAAACATTGTTTTGAGCATGTTGTGTGTGCCATGCATTGTGCTGGATGCTAGAACTACTAAAATACCGCTCCCTTCCTTAAACATTTCCAAGTGCCTGCCAAACTACCTACTACCCACATGCTATGGGCTCATGGAAATTTCAAGATGAGAATTTGTTTGAGGTCTGATAGAATAATGAGATATTTTGGATGTTTCAGGTGGAAGGTGTAGCTGTTGGGTTCATGAGCGTGTGCTCAAGAGTGAACATGCAGCTCCTGCATACGTGCTTTGACCTGGGGCTCTTTCATGGACTCTGCGTCCCACATCCTGATGACGTTCTGGAACTACCACAAGAGCCAGGTGTTCAAGGAAGTCAAGGTACAGGGGCTATCGTGGGGACATACCAGGAATTAAATCCATGCCTTATGTACAACTGTGTTTCTTACTAAGTGATGGGATTAATTTTACATATCAAATTCTCTTGTAGGTGTAGTGTTCATGGTTAATCAAATCCTTGTGCACACATCTATGAGCTCAGATAGTCTAAATTTTAAATTTTAGCTTAGTTAGACATAGTGGCCTTGCAGCTTAAGATTTTTTAAAATCAGAACATCTGCCTTCAGAATGTTCATGGTGATATAACTGGTAGTATTTCAGGATTTTATACACAAAATATGCACACACATGCAAGTGCAATTATAATAAGTGAATTTTCAAGTCAATCACCCAATAAGTTCTATGTGCCTTTTTAATCCTACCAGTTAGTGTTTCTGTGTTGTTGTCATTAACAAATGATTATATAGTGCTGGTCTATTGCAAGTAGTCATTGTTAACCTGCTTAACTTATTTCCAGCCATATAATTTAACAAAATTGATTTTAAAATATTGTATGTATCAGGATTTTCACCAAGTGAAATTAGATAATTTCAAACTTTGGTTATTTTACAATATTTCATAAGGTCTTATTTTGTCTCTGGGTGTCTTTGTAGTTAAATGTTTTGGTTGTTAAATCAGACAGATGCAGGCAAGGTATGTTAATTCATTTCTCTAAACCTGTTTTTTTTTCACTTATAGAAATAATAGTAATACCTTTGACATAAGAGAGTTGTGAAGTTTCACTGAGATTACCCATTCAAGGGCTTTACTCTAGTGCTCAATAAATGTAGGTCCTCATTCTCAGCAATTGTCATTTCTTTGTGATTGGCCTTTTACCTACTTGAGTCTTCCCAGGTTAAGAAAAGGGAATTTTGAATTGTTTTTCTTTCTCATGTTTGCAAGATTATATATCAAGATTGTTCAAAATAGAAAGAGGAACATATTGAATGATGGCAAAGTTCTTGTCAATCTAAACAATGGCAAGTATCATTATCGCCTGGACAGGAAATCAAGTGCATGGATATAGAGAGCTCATCTGAATATTCAGTTATTGAAGAGAACTTGCAGAGTCATAGATGAAGAGGTATTTCCTTTTTGTACTAATGACTATATGAGGTCTGTCCAGAAGGTATCCAGCCATGTAATATGAAAAATAGAGACATTTTTTGAAGAAGATACAAGAAACATTGCACATAGGACAATGATGCCTCAATTCCCTTCAAAGTAGGCACCTTGGGACCTCATACAGTTCTATCAGTTGCCATCAGTTGTCCCATTATATTTTCCTGACTCTCATTGGTGGTCTGAAATCCCTTCCCATTCAAAGGTGATTTTAGTTTGGGGAAAAGCCAGAAATTGCAGGGCACCATACCTAGGCTGTAGGGGGGCTGAATCACCTGGGTGATATGATATTTTGCCAAAAAACTCTGCATAAGGCGTGATGCGTGAGCAAGTGCTTTGTTGTGATGAAGTTGCAGCCTTCTGGATCATGCAAATAGTTTCCGTGGAGGAATGTTCAAGCTTAATGCACAATTTGCTGCAGATTTGTTGCTATACTTGCGTAGTCATTTTGAACGTGAAAGCCACACAGTACACATTCTCATTCAGTGGTGTCTACTGCCTCCATGAATTTGTGCAGCAAAGTGGTCATTGTTCAAGCATGCACATTCCCGTCCGCTGTCCTTGGCTGCTAGGTTACATCGATGTTGTGCAAACGATTCTCATCATATTAACAATGGCTCAACATTTTCTGGACAGACCTTGTACTCTTCCCAAAAGAGAGATTAAAGGTCATTGTTTTTTAATAGTGAAGGCTGACTCACCCATGCTTCTTAGCAAAGAGATATTGGATGATACTGAAGGAAATTTTCAGCATGAGACAATCTTCAGTCATGTTATCGTTGTCATTTTCAAATGTATAAATTTTTTTAATGGAGGTGGCATTAAATAGGTTTTATGGCTCCACTTTCTCATGTATAAAGTGGAGATAAAAATTAGTATTTAACCCAAGGAGTTGTTGGGAAGATTAAATGTTAGAATCTACATGATATGCTTAGTTCAGTACCAAGCACAGAGTAAGTCCTGAAAAAATTTAAGTTGTTTGTTTTCCCCCTGTGAGTATTGTTATTAAAAACAAATTGAAAAAATATATATCCTTTCCTCTGTGTTCCTGAGTGGCTCTGAGGCTAGTTATGTTCCATACATAGATTGAATGGAAAAATCCTATTTTACAAACTTTATAGAGAGAAAAAAAATTTAAAACCGAGACTTAAAAACACACATAATCTAGTATATCTCTCTTTAGTGAATGCACACAGAGATATGGAAACTGAAAGACATCCTATATCTCTCTACAGCCTTTAATATTTTTACTTAAAATCAGTTATCTCAGATAGGATGGTAAGTAAAGGAAATAGGAAAACTTGTGTTATCTTCTGTGCCTTATTTATTTTTGAAAATCCAACTTTACATTCACTGATACAAACATGATTATGAAATTTTCACCAGGGAGCAGTATTATAGGCTACCAAATAACTCAGGGATGGATTCACAAATAATCAACAGCTTATTATATCTAAGAAAAGAGTCATCAACACATTTTGTTGCCATCTTCCTATCAACAACAAAGAATGAGGCTCCAGAGAAGATTCTAAATGTGCTATGATCTACTTTTCATGTTTTTTGATGAAAGTCTCAAGTTAAAGGAAATATAATTTCTCTAAAATATCAACTAAAATTCTTTTTTCAGATGGGCACACATAATTGTGCCTTATACCTTGTATTTTGTTTAGTGCTTTCTACTTTTCAAAGGATTTTCATGTATATTATTTCATTTTATTCCCATAACTTAATGTAGGGGAGCTAGGATAGATGATATTGTATCCTTTTAATACCTGCTCAAGGTCATTCACAATTTTAAAGCTCATCAGGGGCTGACCTAGCAACCAGACCCAGCTCTCTCTGCTTGGCAAGGTGACTTTATCTTGGATGGCTTAGACTGAAAACTCCAGTGGGGATTCTACTATACTAGATACATGATCAGTTTTTTTCACTTCAACAAGTTATTTGAGTTACATTTTAATGAGTTCTGAGTGGCATGACCATATTCCTGAGACTATCACTAGACTGGTTCAATGCTGGGGGCTGGCCCTGTCCCAGCACAGTCTGGGACTTTTCATGTGTCAGGTAACCTCCAGGATCTTGAGTCATGCAGGAAAGGTTTCAAAAAGAAGTTAGAGAAAGAACAAAAGCAAGTTTTATTCAGGTAGAGACAAAGAGGGATGCCAGGGAATGAGGGCTGTTGTGAAAGAAATGAGAGTTTGTTTACAAGTAGACACAGGCCAGCTCTTAAGTTGTGCACTCAGTCAGTTCCTGGCATTTTATGTGATCCCAGTTCTTGAACTTTGTGGTGCCAAATTCTCTCCCTGCCTTCGGGAGGGGATATTGTTCCTAATATAGTCCATTCTTCTGGAAGTCATGGCATTCACTCCCCTGGGCCTCCCCTTCACTTGTGGTGTCACTTTTCATTACAATGATGTGATGAAAATTATAATGAGCTTTGGGGTTGGCCTCTGGTCAGGTCTTCCTCTGTCTTGGAATGATCGGGTTATAACTAGTTCTTGTTGTTTTAGACTTCTGTGACCATCGTCGGGGTTTCCTGCCACAAACTGTTTCCTTTGATCATGCATAGAGCTGGGAGCTCTGTTGAGAGGACCTAGTATTTTTCTTTTTCTTTTTTTTTCTCTTAGGCCTGCGAAGTCTGTTCCTACTTCCTCATTCTACTTGTTTGGAGTTGTCCTTAACTTCTTTCTATCCTGTCTTAAGACTGTTTTTTTCCTGAACTTCAAACGTTTTATTTTCAAGAATAAATATGCCATTTACAAATAAGGATATTCATATAAATACGCTCCCATTACAAAAACAAAATCTCAAAATAAAACGCTTCTTCCCAATGAAAAATCCTTGGCAAGAACACCTTACTTATGTATTAATATTACATTTTTTTCTTGTTTTTCTCATTCTGTTACATTGAAAAAAACTTTGTTATAGGTCTGCACAGTCCATAGTATTTGTAAACCATTGGTATAAAGAAACTTACTTGAATTAGGAATCAAGGGACCCTGTTTCAAATTCTAGTTTTATGGGTTTAAAAATATCACTTTTTTAAAAACTTATTTTTAAATCATGTTTATTCTATTACAGTTGTCTCAATTTTTCCCCCTTTGCCCTCCTCTACCCATCCCAGCCCGTCCCCCACTCCCACAGTCAATTTCCACTCTGTTGTCCCTATCCATGGATCATTCATACATGTTCTTTGTCTAGTCCCTTCTTCGTTCCACCATTGTCCTCCTTCCCCATCCCCTCTGATCACTCTCAGTCTGCTCCATGTTTCCATACCTGTGGTTTATTTTGGTTGTTGGTTTATTTTGTTAAATAGATTCCACTTATAGGTGAGATAATATGGTATTTGTCTTTCACCAACTAGCTTATTTCACCTAGCATAATATTCTCCAGTTCCATCTATGTTGTTGCAAAAGGTAGGAGTTCATTCTTTCTTTCTTTTAAAATGTAGATTGGTTTTATTTTTTTTAATGTCAAAATGCATTATAAAATATCAAAAATTTTTAAATCCATTATGAAGTCTCAGCAATTGAAACAACATGACACCAGCACAGAAATAATCAAGTAGATCAATGAAATATAATGAGCATTCTTGAAACAAACGTATATATCTGTCTAACAATGTAATATCTGATTAAATTGATATTTCAGATCAATGGAGGAAAATAAGGCTTATTCAACAAATAAGGTGCATGTACCACTATTACTTGAAATAAAATAAATATAGAGCCCTATTTCACACACTATATGAGCAATATTCAGGTGAGTTAAAAATCAATATGTAAAATCTAAGTAGTTTTAGGATAAAATACAAATTAATATTTTTCATGACCTGAAGTAAAATATTCAAATCCAGAAGCTATAAAGTAAAATATTGACAA